CTTATTGGTACTTAACTATTAATGTTTTGCATAATTATGATAACAACACACAATAATAATAATAACAATAACATAATAATAATAACAATAATAATAATAACAACAATAACAATAATAATAAAAACAGCAACAATAAGAGTAATACTAACTTTGTGGTGGTGGTCCACCGAGACTACCGGCCATTGAAACGGGCATTTGTTGTCCGATGTTCGATATGGATGTCTGAATGGCGTTCGGATCGAACTGAGTGTTCTCCACTCGGGATATGGTGCGTTCGTCCTCTTCACCGTATTCACCACCCATCATCGACGGTTCACCGACAACCATTACGTCCTGATATTGAATCGGAAACTGAAATTTATTACTTTACTTTACAATTACAATTACAATTACGATTATTTCTGCTGCATTCGCAAGCAGCTTTAGGCTATCAGACGTTTGTAACGTTGCTGCTGGCCACAATGCCCGCAATGTTTCCGTGCGGCGCATTGTTTTAGCCTTAATTCACGCCACCCGCTGGCTAGTAGGCAAGCAGGCCAACCGAACGAACACAACCGAGTAATTAATTAGTTGAAAGCCGTGAATACTTTGCATAATTAAACACTGTCGTAGCCAAATACCTACCAATCCAATAAATAATCACAACTCTAATAAAATAAATAAATATTTCGCCGCCGATCGCTCACAGCACAGCGATTATTCACAACAAAACCAATAATTACAATAATAATAATAATAATAATAATAATAATAATAATAATAATAATAATAATAAAAATAATAATAATAATAATAATAATAATAATAATAATAATAATAATAATAATAATAATAATAATAATAATAATAATTTAAACATAAATAATAAACGAAACACATTAAACCCACATGTGAATTCAGTGGAAAATTCGGTGCGCTCGGTGCAGGTGATGCGTTGTTTTTCTTCTTCGCGCCACCACCGGCTCCACCGGCAGCAGTTTTACGTGTTCGTTTACGCGGTTTCTTGGATGTTGGCTCGTCGACTGGTGTTTGTGCCATTATGTGTGGCGCATTGTTCATATTACCTAGACATTTATTTCTCTGATTCATTTAGAGACAAATCCAATAAAATAAAATCTCTATCGAATCGAATAAATCAAATGAATACCCATCGCGTTGATGGCCATTTGCTGCTGCTGTTGATGATGTTGTTGGTATTGCTGCATTTTGGCGTGAGCTTGAAATAAGGTCTGTTTTAGAGATTCCCGAGGAGCTATCTGAATTCACATTTTAATTATTAACATTTAATTACAAAAACAATCACTTCAATACAATAACTATAACAATACATAATATCACAGTAATAATAATAATAATAATAATAATAACAATAATAATAACAAAACAAACAACTAACATTATGTGATTTACTTTGACTCATTAAGACTTGCATTGGTTCTAAGATAACGCAAAGTTTGAGGTAGTTTAACGTGATCTGTGTCATACCAGTTCTAGTAATACTCATCTTCAACTTCTCCTGCACCTCACTATCCTGCAACTGCAACTTCACACATTCATTAACGCCATTAATTAATTATAATTAATTAATTACCATATTCAAATCCCTGAGCACAAACTCCTGACAATGCCGCAACTCGATATTCCATTGTCGTATTCGATAGCCGTACGTCTCATCAAATACGAATTCACATGTTAACTTACAATCGGTATGTACCTTAAATATTTATCATTTTTATAACATCACAATAACAATAATAATAATAATAATAATAATAATAATAATAATAATAATAACGAGATGAATATCTACCTCAGAAAGGACGGGTTTTTCATGTTTAGAGACGAGCAGAACATTATCACAGTCGAGCACCATAGCCCACGGACCACCGGCTTGTTCCCGAGCTGGTGTTCGTATCACGTAGAACATCTCTTTGACACCACTCTCGAATATCGAACGAAAATATCGTGGTATTAACATACGACCGATCGCTATAAGATCAATCAATCAGCTATTATATGATCATGATCACATAAAATCTTAAACTCACTATAACGATGGTGATGACCCGGGTTCTGATCGTCGAATATAACGAAACTCATTCGCGCGTCATCGTCAAAAAACTCGTGAGCAAATGCATCCCACCATTGAGCATGATCCTTGTCTTGGATCTGCAATCACTTGATCAGTTACAATCAATCAATCAATCAATCAATCAAAAATTGATGTGTTAAATGATACAATTTTGCAGTTGGCTTTTTTCTGCTCTCATTCAATTTGATCTCACCAAGTTTTTTCCATAAAAAATAGTCTGCTCTAAAGATCAACCAAACCAGCCACTCAACTCAAAGCAACAATAACTATTAACTCACACCACTATTGCTAAAGATGAACAACCTCCGATTCATTTCGTGTAATCGAAATTCCAATTGGCACGGTGGCGGAGGTCCTTGATGGTGAGTTGGCGGCCCCATTGGAGGCATATGCCTATACCTGAACAAATTCAATAACATTACCACTACTACTATTACTAATTAGCACTTAATGAATCCAAAAAACAAACCAACCAACCAACCAACCAGAAACTATGTCAAATTCATTCCATAATAAAACACAAAATTCTCTTTCTGTATAAGATGATGCTCGATGCGAAGCACGCAGAAATGACTTCAAGACCAAGATGTCGAAGAAGATGAAGACGAAACAATTTCGGTGGCAGCCAAACAGCTCACCACCACCTCACAAAACAGCTCCTTTCAGCAGTCAACTAACTTACTTCAGAGTCGAACTAACTAACAGCACAGCGCTAAGCAAAATAATCATCCAAGCAAAAGCTCCGTCCACACCGGCTCCCACCACAACACTCTGATGATGCAAAACCAATAATAATAGATACGAGAGTGAGTGAATTCATGCATTTGCACGATTTAGCAACGCAATAGCACAGCAAAACTTCACTTCTCGATACCTCCGAACGAACACTCATGGCCGACCAACAATCCAACGACACCCAAATCAACTGCTATCACCTTTCCTGCCTCCGTTAGCATCAGGCATTTTATCACTTATCAGAGCGCTTATCACTTATCATTATCAATATCCATCCCTCCCCCCCCCCGTTAACAATTCACTGCCACTGCTTTCGCACACCTACCTCATTGAGTGTTATTTCTTTTTTTTGCTCATCACCTATTATTATTATGTTCACTGCAAAATTGCATCGCATAAAAAACTACTGCCCATAAAACGTCAGAATTGAAAAATAAATAAATTTTAAAATTCTTATCGAACACCCACAAAATCATTATTCAGTCATATGATCGTCAATTTTTTCTGCTGCTGCTGCTCTTAAAATTTTTCTCACTACAATATGTTCATCGCAACTATGACCATGTTAAATAACAAAACTTAATGATAATTACTTTCAAACACACCAATACCAGACCATTTCCAAGCCCTTAGTCAGATTATATCCGTGAATTGATTATTCAAACACGCAAAATAAACTTCTCAATAATCACTTGAATTCAACTGAATGCTTTGAAGCACATCAAAATTCAAGCAACGCTTCAAACTATAAGAGATTAATGCATGATGAAGCTAAAAGCCCAAACCCATCTATAATACAACCTTCTCGAGTCTCTGTACCAGCCCGGCTAACTCATGTGAACAAGGCTAAGTGACAATAATAATAATAATAATCTGCACAAGATACGGAGTACACTAACAAAAAGAAGACACTAAACACCAACCAACAGAACAATCCCAACCAGACAAGTGTATATTCTTAGGCATACAGCTGACTACTGATTGAATCAAATTAGTCATAATATACTAATTGGATGAAATGAATAATCAAATCAAATGAGATCAATCAACTGATTAATTGAACAAAATAAATGAATATTGAACAAGTAAGGTCTTAATTAAACCGTATGAATATGATCGGATCAATGAAACGAAAATACGAAAATAAATCAATCACCTCATCATCATATGGTTATGCTGTTGCATATGTGATGATTGGCCCACATACGGGCTATGTGGTGGTTCAGGTTCTATAAACTGATGCGGAGGGCCTTGTTGCGACTGTGGCACTGGACCTGGTGGTCCGGGTCCAGGCGGTGGGCCACCTGGACCAGCCGCACCATGAGGTGGTAGTGGTTGTGCACCAGGTGGAGGCATTGGTCCAGGTTGGTAGCCAGGTGGAATGGCTTGATAATAGTCAGGTGGTGGGCCACCTTGTGGTCCACCACCAGCCGAGTTAGCACCAATTGAAGTGGGAATACATTGAGCGGCGCCAGCAGGCGTATAGAGATTGTGTTGCTGTGGTTGTTGACTAGACATCGGTATGGACACGACATCATCGTGCATCATATTAGCCGCAGTGCCAGGCATTAGACCGTTGTGATTGTGAAGCATCTGAACGGACGCTGACGACACACTGGCCACCACCTGACAATCGTACATGGACGGAGGGGCTTGGCCAGGTCCCGGGCCCGCTTGACACACACCGCCGACGACCATGTCGACTTTATTCGCATCCATAAGACATCCAGGACCACCAGCAGCACCCATAAGAGTGCCACCAGCGTTCGGTTGTTGATGTGCGTGTGGATGTCCACCTGCTCCTGGGCCACCCCCCACCAGAACCGTTGCCACCGCTGCGGCGGCTGCAGCGTTTTGGTCTTTTTTGGAGCGTCTCGCTCGAGGTTTCGGTGGGTTTGCCGAATTTGCGCCATTGGCTGCTGTGGCTGATGCCGCTGAACCCGTATTTGACGAACTCGCACTCCCATTTTCGTTGATTTTCCTACGTGGCATCGAACAACTGATGCGCACCGTTCACCACAAAATTTATATCTTATCTCCTTCCTCTACAACTTTCAATCTCCTTTAATCCACACCACAGCACAATATCACCAGTCACTGAACTGCTGCAATGCCGTCTTATTTCCCTACTCTCTAGCAGAGTTTATGATAATTAATATAATTACCACTACTCTTATTATAAATCCCTGTTCGTATCACTTAATAACGTGACCAGTTAACGGCTCTATTACAGCACATTCAATACGCACAAACCAAAGGTTTATGTCCAAATGAATACTACAAGTCTTTCGTGACGAGCACAGCACAAATAACAGCAAAATATTATGCTTGTTCTCTTCTCATGCACATATCTGATCTGAATACAGATTACTGCCGTTATAATATCCAATCCTCGAATTAATCAATCCTTTACATATATTGTATTCTTCCAACTACTACAAATATGATTATTCATTAAATATTTTTATAATATTACGACGATGGCTAATATCAACTAAATGCGATATGAAATACGAATCGATCGATGCATGTCAATAATAAAGCAGCATGCACGAACCGAATTAAGGCTACAGTCAAGCCACCAGCAATCCAATCAACGCCATATAATCCACACAAAATTACGTAAATATTAACATCATATAATAATCTTTTCATTAAATGCCCTACCTATCAAACAATTACACTTAATTAATTAATTAATGAACAACAGCAAAACTAAATCAACTACTCAATACCACTATAAATACGCATATTATAGCCAGTGAGTACACAAAATCAATCAACAACGCATATTCAAAGAACAACAAACGAAACGAGTAAATTAATAATCTCACCTATAATATTTCAACTGTCCAAATGTCTCTATCTATACCTTCTTCAGATCACGCCTAAATATTATTATACCAATCCACTGATTACAAACCAACCACTCAAATATCAGCCCCCCCCCCACCCTCACTCCCACCCCCCTCATAAACAGTCAATTACCACCCAGCTGGTAATAACTGAAACAATCCGTCTCACTTGAAACGAGCAAAAAGCTATCAAAGCGTGAGAAATCCAATGTACACCTGATAAGTCCAAAACTGTTTCTACGTTAAATCACAAAAAAACGACGTCCTTGAAATCAACAATGAAAGCAACAATAATAATAACAATAATAATAACAATAATAATAATAATAATAATAATCACACAACTACAAATCGCCCAATTGCACTCTCCCTAATCATCTCCTCACACAAAATAACACCACAATAGTACCACTGGTCTACATGAATACAATATCACTACTCAATAGTATTCTATAGAATAATGTATACTAGTTGCTCGTAATAATAATCGCATAGCACATTACATAACATAACACAACACATCAATAAGTATTCCTTCCCTTGCCTTCCCTCTTTCATTCATTCATATCAATCTAGCAGCAGCACGGCCAACTGAAGTAAGAAGCTTCCATAGAGCTTTAACTAAACTAAACGGAATACATCATGTATGTATGTATGTATGTATGTATGTGTGTGTTGTATGCGTATGTTTGTTTGTATGTTTGTATGAATAGCTGCTGCTGCATGAAACGATGTATAGATGGATGGATGGATAGACGGGTGGATGGATGGATGGATGGATGGATGGATGGATGGATGGATGGATGGATGAAAGGACGACACGACACATTGACAGACTCGACCGACCGACCGACGTGACGGCTCAGTGCTTGCTTGTATACGGAGTGGAGTACAAGATTGAACAGATAAGATGCGATGCGATGAGATAGACTGGTTCGGATGGGATGACGAGAATAGAATAGAATATAGAATGGAATAGAATAGAATAGAATGCAATGGAACAGTTTTCATTCAAAAAATATTAATTGCATCTGTATAGATTCATATTCATTTACAGATAAATACGATGATGATGCATATATTCATTCTATCATCATCATCATCATCACATACAGAGCTAATCAGCATAATCGTATAATCAATAAATAAATATGCTTGATGCATGTTCATCAGATGCACAACGTGACGACTAAAGAATGCTACTGCTGCTGCTCAATGGACTACTACTCACTCACCAAAGTTTGAAGTTTGCATGCATGGATAATCGCAAGCAAAACCTTACTGATCACGATGCCTTATTTCCAACTACAGTTCCACGGCTTTAGTCTATTTTTCATCAATTAACACAAATAATAAACTGAATTTGATATGACATTAAAATCGACTGATCGCAAATATTTATTAACATGCAATGTTGCGGACTTATATCACCGAAACACTGCCTGCATTCCTCGATAGCTCCCATTTGTTTCGGTTCAGGGGAAAGAAATATTGATACAATTTGACATGGGATGCGATGTGATGTGATGTGATGAATTATTGTGATGAGGTGCGTTGCAATTTAGCGATGTGGTGTGATTGTTTCTTTTAGTGTGATCAGATTCGCTCACCGGGGATATGACAAATCCATATAGGATGATGTCATGCTACGTTAACCGCATTTGCGCAATGACCATTGATAGACGGGCAAACAAAAAACAGGTAATATTAATAATAATAAACATAATAATAACAATAATAATAATAATAATTCGATTCTCAGATGAACGGGACGATAGATGTGACGTGAGCATGCATGAGCATCAGAAGCAGCTTATAGTTCTGGGTGGCTGTATGCTAGTGCAAGAGCACGAGCACGAGCACGAGCAAGAGCAAGTGCAAGACAGGTGTGGTAGGTAGGTGTGATTAATATTATCAACATGATCACGATCATAACAATAATCAATAATGATTATACATCGCATCGAAGTGAGAAATTATAAAAAGAAGTGTTAACTCGATTATAAAGAAACGTCCGTCCGTCCGTCCGTCCGTCGGTCCTATCATCGCCCCTCTATCGCATGCATCTATCTATCTATCTATCTATCTGCCAAGCAATAGAAACTGCTACTGATAATATATAATAGATTGTTGATTAATATGATACAATAAAAATATAGAACAAATGTTGTTTGTATGCACAAAACAAAAGAATTATGTATGATGCTGCCCTCCGTGCCCTACCCTACCCTGCTCTATCCATCCATCCATCCAGCCGTTTGTCTGATACGATTCGATTCGATCAAATGAATATAAATCAATTCATTAATCAAATGATCCTCATCTAAACAAATCAATCATCAACAATTAATCAATCTAAACACCAAACTACGATAACCAGGATGTATCCCAACCACGCAGCACCCAAACCTGATCATCGTACGAGGGCACCAATCAAAATGAGACGGCAGTCCACTATTCCCCTTATTCATATCACTAAAGTCGTCGTCCAAATCAAATCTAGTTTGTGCTAACGATGAATTCAACTTCACACTTTCAGCTTCACACTACCAATCACTCCACTCCGCTCCCTTCCCCGAGCCCTGCCCTGCCCTGTCCCCAAACCCTCCCCTCCCCTCCCCGCACTCCCCTTTCTATCAACGCACACACCCACATCACAAATCCCTTCTCAATATCTCTTATATTCTTCATTCCCATTCGCCTCACTCAATCAATAACCTAATCACGACCACTACACTATGTGACATTAAATTAATCACACTAACACGATCATAACCACAAAACTAATAATAATAACAACAACAATATTAACAGTATTTGATCTATCGATACAGCAACCAAAATGTTACAATTACGACTAAATGCAACCTTTAAAAGCAACGCAGCAGCAGCAGCAGCAGTCATCACTTCAATCTCAGTTTTTCCCTTCTTTCATTCAAACATCCCTTCTTCTTCTTTAAGACAAGCAAAACACCAATCGTCGACGACCCATTCAAGAACCACATAAAGAAATCGGTCATTAGGTCGTCATTATCATCACTAACACAATACCAATCATTAAAACTATTATTATTATTATTATTATTATTATTATAAATATATACATAAACCTAACCACAGAATATTTATCACCATAAAAATAATGTCATTGATCATATACAATAATACCACTATCATTTCACACCAACTCAATTTGAAAACGCCTCATTCCTTCATAAAGCTCTAATATTAGTCACAAATGTAATCCACAAAATGCATTATCACTAGATCACAAGACCGACCTGCTGCCAGCCCACTGACCACTAACTCCACCTCACCCAACCCAAGCCGACCCGACCCAATCCCCTGATCCCTCACTCGCTGCTTGACTGCATCTAACCCGAATACGTCAAAAAACGCAGTGGCCAAGTTGCTCTGTATTCACGTGCCTCACTCAAGCATTAATTTATACTATTCAGCTGTCATCTCCCAACAATAACTACTTAAATTATCACTAATACCAGTTCTTCATACAGTTATCATCATAATATAAGTAACTGCAACAACAATAATAATATTAATATTAATAATAATCAATATAATATAATACTAGCCACACCCATCCACACCACATAATATTATATCGCTGTTGCTATTGCGCTTCAACACATTGTTTTACTTCTTTCTTTCTTCTATCTTCTTCCTTCTATCTATTGTTATTCTACTCTCTACACAATAATAATAATATAAAAGAACATTATCGATAATAATAATAATATATAACAATAATAATAATAATAATAAATAATACTGATACTATCCATCCATCTATCCATCAAGAAAGCAGCAGCAGTAGCTACCAGCTCAAATTAGCAATGCCCCAATACCACACCCACCACCCACATCGCAGTGAAATCATTCGGCAATAAACGAGTGAATCAATTCATCAATATAACTACAACACTCTTCTAGTTTAGCTGCCAGACTGCTTGCTCTAAGCCATCAGCAGTGCCTTCTCTTCTCGTTTCAAGGTTACTGTCTGCTGTTGTTGTTGTTGTTGCTGCTGCTGCTGCTGCATCCATCTCTATTCAAGTCATGCCCTCAACTGCGTTGTCTACCCAGGTGTGAAGAATGCTGATGCTGCTGCTTATGTTAGCT